GGAGGGGGAGGGGTGTGTGTGTGTACGCGCCCACCGCCTTGAGGGTCTCCAAGGGCCCACCCAAACTACAAGCAGCACAGCCCTGGCTGTCTCTCAATCCTGTGCTTTCTGCCCTGTTATCTCTCTGACCTTTGAAAATGCCTCTCTCCCTCACTTCTGCAGCCGGGAAGCCCTCAAAGGGAGGGTGCTTTGCTGGGAAGCTGAGGGGAGGGGGGCCTGGGGATTATCAGGGCCCATCTCTCTGCCTGTTCCCCTCCCGCTGTGTGGCTTGTAGCCCCTCTCCCTGGTAACCTGAAGGCTGGCAGGCACTGAATAGCAAGCCGCTGGCTGCCCCTGACCATACTATTCAAACATCCAACGGGAAGGTGAGAGCTGTGGGTGCAGAGGCAGGGAAACCCTCCCCCTGCATCTCCCCAGTGCCTCCGCCCCTCCAGAGGGCTCCAAGGAGACAGGCTGGAGTGAGGCCGTGGGAAGGCTCGGGAGCTCTCAACTCCTCTGCAACGCTCCCCTCTCCCAGCCCAGTTGCCATACCTACCCTCCTGGCTGTCCCCTCCCTCAAGGCAGGGCCCAGGCTCTCCCAGACAAAGCCAGGTCTAACTGGAGAGTGAGGGGCGAAGGCCACTCTGCCTGGCTGGCTGAGGGGCACAGGGCAAGGCAGAGCCTAGGGCAGGTTGGGTCACAGTGGTGCCCGGTGCTCCTGGGGCCTCCCTTGGACAGCTGAGAAGACCTCTTCGCCCGGCTGGGAACTGCTGAGGGCTGGCTCTGAGGTCAGTGCTGGGGGACTGCAGGAAAGTGGGGCTGCACCCTTCCTGGGGTACTTTAGGGAGAATGTGAGGGCGTGCTCAGGCCTGGGGAATCCCTCCACTCTTCTGGAGAGCGGAAAGGCCCAGGTAGGAGCAGTGGTTAGTCCGAGGCTACACAGAAAGTCGTGCTGACATCAGTGCCCTCTGCTCACAGCGTGCCCTGCTCTATGGAGCTCTGAATGAAGAAAGAAGGTTCTAGACTAAGCTTGCAGAGATATGTCCAGAGCAAGGCCTGCCGGCATGCCTTGGACTCCAACAGGCAGGGAGAGGCTTCAGCTGCTCTCAAAATCATTCCAAGCCTTGGTCTGATGGAGGGTCTCCTTTCCCCAGAACGACGGGTCCCTGCTGGCTGCTCAGAGAGGGTATCAAGGGGCCTTGCAGCTGGCTTTGCTGTGCGTCCCGGGGGGATGGCTTGATGTTTTCAAGCACTTTGGAACCTCCTGCTTTGAAGGAAAATACTCAAATGCTAATTATAGCCTCACTTATCTTTTTTTAAAGCACTGCCCCAAGGACTGAAGCCTGGACCTGCTTTGCTGGCCTGATAGGGTCTCCAGATCCATGGGAAGGCCTTGAAATAGCATTAGGACTAGTAGGATTGAGACTTTTCCCACTTCCGAATGCCCTTTTCTTACTCCCAGCCAAGCACTGCCCTGGGTAGGACAGACGGACGGGCAGTTTTCTCCTCATGGGACATGGTGGTGGGCACACCCCATCCTTCTTCCCTGCTCAGATTCAAGGAAGGGCCAACCCACGTATGGCCTGGCCAGAGCACTCTCTAGGCCTGATGCCTGAGAGGCAGAGGCCCTGGGCAGCTAGTTGGGCATGAGAGTCTCCATCTGGGAGCTGGGAGGGGTCCTGTCCTGTCTGGAAATGCTGGAAGGAGTGTGGTGGGAACTGGGTGGGAGGGGGGTGGGGTGCACTGGATGCCCTCAGTCGCCAGGCACAGGGGAGGCTGCAGGCGGGAGGAGGCTGTGTACAGGCAGCTGGGAGTTAGGTCCTGTGGCTGCTGGTGAGTGCCTGGGGAGCGTGGGGCTGGGCCGCCCCTCTCCACTCCCCTCTACCTGCTGATTTGGACTCTGCAGCCCACATGCAGAGCCTCGGCAGGGCACGACCTAAAGCCCTTCCTTCTGTCTAGTGTTGCTGCTAGACCTTGACTGAGTTAGAATAAGCTGCAAGTTGGGAAAAGGAGGGAAATCTGTTACCCACCAGGCTCATGAAAGTCTCCAAGGTCAAAGAGAAATAGATGATTATTTCTTATTAGACCCCCCTTTTGGATTTCCTGTCCTGTGTTTGTAGAAATCACAGATCACAAACGCTGGCCTGGAAGCTGGATGTAGCCTCCTTATGCATTTTGTTTGGCCTGTTGTAGTATTTTAAATATTTGAAAATTCATTTCGATTTTTTTAAAAATCAAGTTTGTTTGTCCTTTGCAGTGTCTTTTTTTCCCCCCTCTCTCTCTCAACCAGATTTGAATTAGTTGCCAATATTTAAACATCAGGAACGTTTGCCTAAAAAGTCCAGATTTCTGGCTTCTCTCGGGAACCTGGAAGGGGACCACAGGGGCTTGCCTTCCGGCATTCCATCAGCCTGGCCGAGGCCCCTCGGCCTCTGCTCTCCAGGTAGGCCTGCCCACCTGTCCCGCTGGTCACACGTTATCTACCATCTGCGCTCTGTAAGCATTTTAATTTGCAGCCAGAAGCTCAGCTTGATTTTCCAGCTACAAGGACCACCTGCCGTCCTCCCTCTAGTGGGATGATCCTAAGTGATAACAGGTGACTATGTCAGGGTTTCGAGCCCCATCTTGTCAACTCAGTTGCTCTCTGTGGGTTCTTCCCCACCTGTTCTCAGAGCTGCTCAGGGAGTCCTGGGAGAGAGTTGGGAGCCAACGGCGTGGCAAGGCCACTGGGCCAGGAGTCAGGAAACCTGGTCCTGGTCTTGCTTGCCCACTGGCTCACAGTGTGACCTTGGCAGTCCCTTATTTGGGCCTCAGTTTCCTCACTTGTCAAGGGAGCAGGTTGGTCTTCCTCAGGAAGCACCAATAGGAATTCCCCCGGGGCCAGGCAGGTGACACAGGTGTGCAGGGGGCCTGAGGGCAGGGAGTGCGGTGAGCTGGGGGCCAGCACCCTGTGTAAACGGGGCAGCTACGGCTCAGCCGCGGCCACTGGGTGCCTGGCAGCAAGTGGCCCCACGTTGCCGGTGTTGAAATTCTGAAATTTCAAGAGAAGAAGCCAGATGTTCAGATATTTATGCGAAATATCTTGGTTTCCTTTTGTTTTAAAAAAATATTCACAATTAATTTAAATTTATAAAAACACTGCAAGAACCCAACAAAACACACTGGTGCGTCCCCAGTTTGCAGCCTCGGCATGAGATAACTGCTAGGGTCCTTGCCTGCTGCAACCTCCTACGATCGATGAGTCGCTCCTGGTCACAGAGCAAGTTAGTGATGGAGTTGGTCTTAGATCCCAAGTTTTCAGTCTAAGACTATTGTAATTCATGAAAATTGACTTTAAAATGCCGGAAGGCACTACCCTCGTGCCTCCTCCATGAGTTCACGTCCGGCTCTATCACTTTCCCAGTGTGTGACCTTAGACCTGTTACCTCTCCCAGCCTCACTGTTCTAACTTGTAAAATGATCATAATGCTATCTGCAGCTAGGTTAGCTGTGTCTAGAGTCCATCAAAGTTCCCCTCCCTCTCCAGTCCTAAGTCCACCTGATTTGTTTCTGTCCCATTCTTGTTGCAGGAGCCATGAGCACAGAGGGCCCCAGCCCCCTCGCCTTCCTCACAGCTCCTGTCACTCCGGGGAGGCTCTCAGTGGCAGTTGACCCCATCCCCGTGCTCATTGCCCTGGCCTGCATCTTCCTCCTGCTGGCCACCTGTCTGCTGTTCATGACCCTCTGCAAGCCCGCTGCGCTGGATCCGAGGCGCCGCAGGGCCTGCGAGTGCATGCCACACCACCGGGGGAGCCCCAGTGAGCCCCAGCTCCGGCTCTGGAAGCGCCTGGGCTCGCTGCGCCGCTCCCTGCACAGCTTCCGCCGTGGCTGGCCTGCCCCAAGGCGCCCCCTGCCGGGCAGAGAGGACCACGACGACTGTGACTGCATAGAATCTACAAAGATGTGACAGGAGTGTCCCCCTACTCCAGGGTCCATCTGCAGGCCCTCCTGCCTCAGACGGAAACTGGCACCACAGGCTGCAAGGGGACAGTGGCCCAAACAACATGGGCCACGCGCTCACCCCCACTGGTTCCCTGTGTGTCCAGGCCCGTGGCCTTTCCCAGAGACGGCCCCTGCAAGAATACCTTCCTTCCTGCAGACACTCTAGCTGCTGCCTGCTGGAAGACTCCTGGACCAAGCTGAGCACCTGCAGCCATGTGGACCCTTGGCCCAAGGCTCTGAACGGTACAAACCTGGGCCCCTCAGGGCCCCTCTCTGACCACCAGGCACCAACCGTCTCCAGGGAGCAGCGCCCCTGCTTCCCAACAGAAGCCCTGCCCGCCCTCCAGGTGCCAAAACCCAGCTCAGATTCCAGTGCGAGTTGCTGAATGGCCAAAGGTTCCCTCCAGCCAAGTGAAATACTCAGCCCCTGCTGGGGATAAGGGAGTGTCCTGCCCTCTGTGCCAACTCAGTGCCCAAGGCAAAGGGGAACCCAGGGAGTCTTCTCCTCGGACTTCCTGGGCCTGCCAGCATTGGCCTGTGATACACGGGAGCAGCCAGCACCCTTGGGTGGATCAGATGCTGGGTCCCTGCTGGGAGGAGGGGCAAGCAGGAGGAGCTCAACACCACCCAGCCAATCACAATCTCGGCGGTCATCTTGGCGTGCCCCCGCCCCCCGCCCCGGCCCCCAAGCGCCTCTGCTAAGATGGATGAGGAGGGCGCTGAGAATGAGTTACGAAGCTCCTTGCACAGGCCAGGGCTGGTCCTGTGTCAGAGTGGCAGGAGGCACTGCCAGCAGCTGGAGGTGTTGCTATCTGGGCTCTGAGGACACAACATAGCGGCTCCATGCGTCACCCAGGGAAGGAGGCGGCCTTCCTTCGAGTGGAAGGGTCCAGCTCTCTCCAGGACGGCTGTGGGCCCTCAGGCTCGGACCACATAACGTGTGCTATCTGTATTTTTGGCAACTGCTTCACTGACTGGCTACTGTCAAAGTAATCCCACACCAAGGTGGGCTTCTCAGAATCCCAAACCTTCAGCCTCTCGTCACAATGCTGGGGTTAAACACTTTGGTTGGGTCCCAAATTTGGAGGGTGGGCAGAAGGGTCTGAACTGCCCAGCTTCTGCCCCAGAGAGTCATCTGGCCAGGGCCACCTGGTACCCCACCACGGACTGCTCCACCGCACCCTGCTACGCCCCATAGCACAGCCAGCCGAGTCTCCTCACAGGGTGAGCTCCGATTTTGTCACTCCCCGGCTCCAAAACCTTCACTGGCTCCCTACTACCAGATCAAGCCAGAGCTCCTTCATCTGGTGTTTGGTGCCCACTGGGAGCTGGCTGTGAATGATCCTTCTAGCCTCTTCTTGACCCAAGACTCCAGGTAAACTGAAATACCTGTCCTCCCCTGGCTACGGCTTACCTGGCACGCCCTCTGTGAAGCCCTCTTTGCTCTACACCTGAAACCACCTCCTACCTGAAACCAAGGGAGGGCAGGGATACTTGCTCTTGGCAGGGTGGGTCATCCCTGTGTCTCCGCCTTCCCACAAGCCTGGGAGCTCCCAGAGAGCGAGACCGCGTCCAACCCCTCACTCTGCCTCACCAGCTCTGGGCTCAGAAGTATGGGGCCTCTGTTGACTGAGTGAATGGTGGCCCCGTCTAGTCCCGGGGGGCATCCCCTTCTTCCTTCTGATGCCTCTACGGAGAGGCTCTCTGTCCAAGCAGGCCCTCTTCCTTTTGGGTCAGCCTGACATCACATCAAAGAGCGAGCCCGCCTTGGCCAGAAACTTACTTCCAGGGGGGCCTTGGAGAAATCACCAGTGCCTGAATTTCTCCCTGAGAAACGGGGAGAATCAGGCCTGCCTTATATTACTCACAGAGCTCTAGGATTTCAGTCTGAGTAGTTTGTATAAATAGAAACCAATTCTTGGGGTTTAGAAAGTGCGCAGGCCCCCTCCTGCAGCGCTGTGTCCCCCTCCCTTCCAGATTAGTGACGCCTCCCTGCTTTGCCTCCCGCCAGCTCTCCCTGAGGCATCCCAGGCTGAATTCTGCCTGCAGCCGGTCCCCGACCCCCGCTGGCCAGCGTGCTCTGCCTAGCACGTGGTGTCACCGGGGTGGGCAGTAAGGCTACCCCTGGCCTGAAGGACGAAAAGCTGGGGAGGAGGAGGGGCTCTCAAAGGTCTGCCATACCCCCAGCTGTTTCCCCAGGTTGGTCCTGGGAGACCTGTGTGAGCTGGGGGAGGCGGGTGTTAGGTTTTAGGCTAGGGGAGAGGCGGGACCCCACAGCTTGGTGCGTGTGGGGTGTCTCTAAGCCCCTAGGAGCTGAGGCTCAGAGGGACAGACCCCTTTTCTAGAACCAGCCCCCAGAGTCCAGCAACCCCCCGTGGCTTCCTGGACTCTCTCTCAGCACCTCTGGAAGTCAGCACCCTGCCCCCGGCTCCCCTCCTGCCCCACGCCCGGCCCTGATGCAGGGAGGGGGCACACTCCCAGCTTCCTGCTCTCCTGCCCCTCCCAAGCCCCGGAGCCTGGCCCAGTGGGCAGGCCCAGATTCGCTCTGTTGGGCTCAGCCTCCAAGTGGGAAACCCTGCGCTCAGCTGGTGAAGAGGGTGATTCATGCCCGGTCTCCCTCCCCACGCAGCAACTGAGGCCTCCAGGGAGGGCTGGGGAGGGCACCCAGCCTCCTTTCCAGGTCCCCCCCTTCCTCCCTCGAGGCCCAAAGTTGTCGTTCCTGCTCCCCGGGCAAAGGAGCCCTTTCTTTTTGTGCCGGTTTATTTCCCAAGAGGGGAGCTTCAGCCAAAAGCCCTGTGAAAGCAGCTCTGTTCTGGGCCTCACTGGGCCCTGGCTTTCTCTCCTCACTCCTTTCTGGGAAAATGTGACATCTCTAGCTCCCCCTGCTCTGAAAGGCCTTTCTGGGTGCAGTGGGGGATGGGAGAGGACTGTGGGGGAGGGAGGGAGGAGAGGAGGGCCGAGGCCCTCCTTCTGTTTTGCGGGGAGCAAGGGCCCATCTTGGGCTACATAACCTCGGGGCCTACTCTCCCCAGGAGGGAGAAGGGAGCCTGGGCCCCCCTTTGGCCATAGCGCCGGCTACTTTTGGAGCAGCAGCTGGACCCTCTCCTATTTCCATACCGCTCTGCTGCGAGGCCACTGAGCGTGTGCGCTCTGAGCTGAGCGCGGCCCTGCCTGTGCCCCGGCCGCCACCTGCCTGCACGATGCTGTGGCCCTCAGGGATGTCCTCAGGGACGCTGGCTTCATAGCTGCTCTGCAGAAAGATGGGCCGGTTGTCATTCACATCCAGGACAGTGACAAACACGGTAGCCGTGCCTGTGCGCCGCTTGCCCACGGGGCCATTGTCTGTGGGAGGTGAAAAAGGATGGGTGTTAGCAGCTGCCTGAGGGGCACGTTCCCGGGCACCAGCCACAAGTATGCCCTGTTCCCCCACCTGCTCTGGCCTTTGCAAGGGGGGCCTCTTTTTCTCTTTAGATTAGGAACAACACTGACTGTATCTAATATGTTCCAGACACTATTCTAACTCATTCAATCCTCACAGCAAGCCTGCCAAGCGGGCGCTCTTATCATCACCCCCATTTTACAAAGGAGGTAACTGAGGCATGAGGTGGGTTGAATGGTGGCCCCCAAAAGATACACCTATGGCAAATCCCTGGGAACCTGTATGTGTAACGTTACTGGGAAGAAGGGTCTTTGAAGACGTAATTAAGTTAAGGATCTTGAGATGAGGTATCCGGTATCCTGGATTATCTGGGTGGGCCATAAACCCCATGACAAGGGTCCTTATGAGGGGAAGGCGGGTGGGATTTGACACAGAGAGGAGAAGGCCATGTGAAGTTGGAGGCAGAGACTGGAGTTCTGCAGCCACGTGCAAGGAACACTTAGAGCCACCAGAAACCGGAAGAGGCAAGGAAGGATTCTCTCCTAGAGCCTTTGGAGGGAATGCAACCCTGTCGACAATTAATTTTGAACTTCTGGCCTCCAGAGCCATGAGGGAATAAATTTGTTCTTTAAGCCACCAAGGCTGTGGTAATTTGTTACAGCAGCCCTAAGAACCAGATACAGGTCCTGAGATGCCAAACCCGACTGCTGTCAGGGCCAGGAAGGTAAGACCCCCACACCTGGGCATGCCTGCCTCAAGGGGCAGCTGTCCTCTGCTCCGGTCCACACTGGACAGGCAGGAGGGGGCCCAGTGACACTAGATCTTCTGATTTCTCAGGAGAAATCAAACGTCTGAGCTTTCAAATAAAATCTCCTGATTTTTAAACATTCACAATGAATTGTCATTTCTTATGAAACATGAGTTGAGTCAAACCCACCTACAGGATGGATTGGATTTCTGCATTCAGGGATGGCGGCTCTGCTTGATTTCTAAGCCTAAAGTATCCAGGGGTTCTGCCCCTTCGGTTCCTTTCAGGACCCTCCCAGGGCTCAACCCCAGGGGCAGCTGTTGGATCATCATCCCTGGGAGAGGGAGCTTGTGCCCAGTTGCTGCATGACCAGGCAAGGATGGTCATCTTAGGGAGGAATGCTGCTGCTGTACTTGAACCCACATTAACGCTGGGACTGCAGCAAGGATTTGTCACCACGTGAGCCAGAGGATGGAGCCAACACGCAGGGGGCAGAGCCAGCCAATGCAGAGAGACTGAGGCCTGGTGGCATCACCTGAGCCCCAAAGCCAGTCATAGTTGAAGCTCCATCTCCCCGTGGACTGGTTTTGTGAGCCTACACTGTTGAAGTCAGTTTATTTTAAAATTTGCCACCAAGAGTCCTAATTAATTCAAAGGCACTTGTAGAGGCCACTTCCTCCAAGAAGCCTGCTTTGATCACCCCCCTCCCCATGTTTCCACCACCCTTTGTGCTTGCCACCCTTGGGCCATCCCTTCTTCCCCTTCTGCTTTGTCCTCCTGGTTTTGCAGTGGTTTGTCTACATGCTGCTCTCCCATATGGCCCCCACGCAGCCCCTGCCACACCGCCTTGGCGTGTAGCGCCATGTGCCGAGCCTCACGGCCCGGAAGTGCACAGTAGACTGAGGGTCTGGTCGCCCCTTCTCCAGTGGCATCAGGGCAGAGCCTTTGGCTCAAGGCCTGGCTCCTGGAAGGCCACCCCACGTGAACTCCGTGGGTGGGCTGGTGCCTACCGATGGCCTCCAGGACGAGCGTGTATGAGGCTGTGGTCTCCCGGTCCAGGTTCACCACCGTTCTCACGACGGCGTCGCGGTAGCCAACGCTGAACTTCCCATCCACGTTTCCACCTGTGGGCAAGAGAGAATGAAGCTCTGGTCAGGAAACAGAGCTCCCGGCCAGGGAAAGGGCAGTGGCACCCAGCTCTGCTTCTGAGCCATGACACTCCAGGGGTGGTCCGGGGGTGAAAGGCTGTGCTTTCCACTCAGCTTTGCCAGGGAAGGGGGTCCTGGGGGACTCTGATGAGGGTGTGGCCTATGTGGGCTTAGGTGAACTGTCAAATGCCTGAAAATCATAAGGGTCTAACATTCATTGAGCACCTACTGTGTACCAGCCACTTCGTGGAGCATTTCCTCTCATTTGCACTATCACTACTTTGCAGAGAAGGAAAACGGTCCTTTAGTGAGGTTACAGGGTACAGTCACCTATTCGGGGTGTAGGACTCCCAACTCAGCAGTCTGATTCCCGAGTCTGAGTCCTTCTCCACTCTGCCACCTGCCTGTCTGGTAGAAGTGTCTGAGCAGTTAACCTGGGTTGGGGCTTTTATATGTGGCCAAGGACTTTGGAGTCAGCCGAGCGTTCTTGGGCCCTCTGAGTGGGGACTCCAGAGAGTAAAGAGTAGAAGCAGGTGGACAGGAGACATGCCTCAGACAGTCCTCCTGAGTTCTGGGACAGGTGGTGAGGGCCTTCTGTGAGGGTGAGGGCCTCCTCCCTGAGGCAGACACAAGCCAGGAAAGGACTCCATCACAACAGTGTGGAGGCCCTTCCCCTGCCAGTTGGGAGGCAGTGTGGCATTCTGGGCAGCAGAGGGCGCGACTGCATTGGGCTTGGGCTAGCTTGGCTCAGGACACAGCACAGTGTCGGGCGGAATGTGCAGAATTAAAATCCGAGAAACCTAGGGCTGGGAGGGCTCTCAGGTCAGCAGAAACTGACCACTTTGAGGCACTGGGAAGTCATCCTGGGGGCTGCCGCCAGGTGCTCCCTTATCCTCACATGGTTTGCCCCCGTTCCCCGAGCCTCCAGTATATGCTCCCCAGTGCCTGAAGCACCATCTACAAGGGACACAATCTGACTCCAAGGGGCAGGGAAGGAACTAGAACACAAGTAGCGCTGGTGGCCAAACCACGGCTGGTGCCATGTGGGGGTCTTGATAACAGCCTTTTCCAGAGCAGTCTTGAGGACCAGCCTGTAAGGAGCTGGCCTGAGGGTGTGGGGCTCCTTTAGGGAGGGGAAGGAGGGAAAGGATCTGGAAAGGAGAGGCAGAGGCCTGGGAGTTCACCTTGGCTGCAGCTGTGGATGGGCTGTAGTCTGGGATTCCTTGCTCCGGGGGAGAGGCATCAGGGAGGCTGGTGTGTGCACGGTACGTGTGTATATGAGTGTGTATGTAATGTGGCTGCAGGTAGGCAGGCCATGGACAGAGGGAAGATTGAGCCAGTAAAATGGCCAAGGGAGGGCTGAGGAATGTGAAAGAACTGCCCTGCTCCCTGCCATGCATTCCAACACCTCTCACGTGTGTCCTGGACTGAAGAATGCTGGTAGACTGTTCTAATCCAGGAATGACTAACACATGGCATGTTTGCCACCACCTACCAAGCCTACTGTCGTGGCAGACATCACTAATCGATCATGGCTCCCCTTCTACTGTTGAGCCAGACATGGCCTCATAGTATTTCTCCACAGGTCTCTAAGTGGTAGCCACCTGACACTTTTAAGTGAAAACCATTTCACTCAGGGATGTCTAAGCCATCTGCCTCTAAACACATGCAAATTCTCCTCATGGGTGAAAGGTCCCCAAGGAAGGAAAAGGCCACATTCCTCTAGTCTGCTTTGTCACCCTGATATGGGGTGGAGTGGGGGGCAGGGCTCCTCCCCAGGAGTCACTGGCTCCACCACCCTCTAGAATAAACTTCAGGAAGTCCACCCCCCCCACCCCCGTCCCCCTACAGGTTCAGGAGGCCCCCAGAGAGCCAGACCACAGGGACCCAGGAGCAAAACCCTGAGGAGAAGTCAAGGGCAAATCCTCAGGGAGGCCCCAGGAGCAGCAAAACCCTGATGGCTGACTCAGGCCCCTTCCCCTCTCCGGCTGGCTGCTCATCCGGGAGGGGGTGGAGGCAGGGCCGGACCTGTGATGAAGTAGCTGAGCTCAGCGTTGAGGCCCACGTCGTTGTCGGTGCAGTTCAGCCAGACCACCCGGAATTCCCGCGGCACGTCCTCGGACACGGAGACGTTGTACGTGGCAGGGTAGAAGGTGGGTGTCTCATCATTCACATCCAGCACTGTGGGCAGAGTCGGTGGTCAGGGCTAGGCCTGGCTTCTGCTCTAAACAACCAGCTCCAAAGGCAGTGGCTCATGCCACAGACCAATAGGAAGCACATTTCCTAGGAGTCGACACCTGCGGGTCAGGAGCTGAGGGCCCCCATGGCCGCTGGGGCTGGGACAGAGCTGACCAGAGATCCACACCCTCCCACAGCTCCCGTTCCCCTGGGGGCTTGCTGCTGCTCATGCTGTCCAGACCCCACAGCCTCTTTCCAATACATGCCTAACAACGACGACGATGACAAGTTATGATGACGATGATGACGGTGATCACCGTTTCTCAGCTCTCCCCAGGTGCCAAGCGATGCTAAGTGCTGCCTCTACAGGACCACACGGGCCCCTCATATCATCCTCACAAGGCAGCCGTCATTAGACACACTATATAGACGGGGAAGCTCAGAGCGACTGAATGACTTGTCCAAAGTCACACAGTGAGGGAGTGGTGGGGTGGGGGTCTGGGGAAGCCTGTCCCCAGTTTGTCCCAGGGAAAGTAGCTGGCTTTGAAAGCTACCCTTCCTTCCGCGCCCCACACACCCTAGCCAAAAAAGTCTAATTTCCCTTATAGATTTGTGTTTTCAGCTCTGCATGCCAGGCCCCCATTCCTTTGGCAGATGGGGCTTGGGATGACCTTCAGTGAAATGAGCCCCGCGCCACTTCGGCTCCTCTTTGTGATAACATCAGGAGAAACGATAGGCTCATTTGATGACACGGCTTCTGCTGAGCCTTGGAAAAAAAATCTGGGGTCCTCTCTGAGAGGACTGGACACCTGCCCTGTCAATCACTGGCACAGATGTGGGTCCTCAAACTGGCACCAGGAGCCCACAAGCCTTGGACCAGCAGGAGAGAGAACACTCGGCGCTCTAGTCTTCATCATCTTGGGTCATGCTTAAGGAGGGTGAATGCTTGTGCCGAGCCAACCACCACCCAACCCCCATCCCACAGAGGCTGGCAGGACCCAGGATGGGACCAGGCCTGTCCTAGAGAACAGGCCACATCCTGCCCATTACACTCTGAACTTACTTCCCTGGGGTTACTCCTGGCCCTCTGTCAACAGCTCATGTCCACGTCCCAGTTTTGTCTTAAGAATTAAAGATACAGCCAGAGTAGATGAGCAATAGTCACCCTCCTTGGCCTGGCCCTGCCCTGATAGAGGGTGGAGACGGTGGGAAGTATCGAGAGGGCCCCAGGAAGATGAGGAATCCTAGGGAGTCTGGGAATCCCAGCTGCCCTCTTCCGGGGGTGATGCCCTTCCACCGCGATTCCAGGCATTCCCCACACACGGGAGGGGAGGCTTCCCTTTACATGTCCAAATAGAAAGTCTGTCCCTCCAAAGACGACGGGTTTTGAACCTCCCCTGCCTGCTCATGAATCCGAGGACGCCACCCCCTGAGCAAGCCCTCTCTGCTGCTGCCAGGATCAAAAAGGGGGACCTTAGCAGTGGGTCCAGGCCACCGCCCCTGGGCTCTGGGACCCTGAAGGCAGTGACCAGGTGGGAAGAAGGCCCTGCCAGCATTTCTGACTTAGCGGAGACAGAGAGGGCTCTGCTGTGTCGAATGGCTCCAGCTGAAGAGGGCGCCCATCGGCAAGGTGGCCTGTACCGCCTGGACAGGGGACAGCAGTGGTGAGCGTGGGCTCCCAGCCGCTTCCACTGCCCCAGGGCCCGTGCCATGTGCTCAGTGCAGCAGGAGGCACCCCTGCCCCCTCACCTCGGATGGTTAGCGTGCTGGTGGAGCTCTTGGTGGGTGCGCCCGCGTCGCTGGCCACCACG